ACACATGAAAAGTATTAGCATCCATAAAAGACATACATATCAAATTTATACCAATTAAGATAAAGGCACAAAAAAATAGAATGGAAAAATGTACAAACTATTTGAACAAGCATTTTATATGAGGAAATACCAATGACCATGAAACACATAAAAAGAAAGTCAATTTTGTTAGTATCAAGAAAATACAAATTAAGATTACAACAGAATAATATTTTATACCTCGACATAAGCAAACTGAGATTTTGACAATCTCATTTGGTCAGAGGATATAGAGAATTAGAATCTCTTATATACTGTTCATGGAAATATACAATGGTATAACTACTTTAAAAAACAATTTGTTAATATCGTGTAAAAATAAACATTCATATACTCTCCACCCAGTGGTTACACTTCTAGATACATACTTTTGAGAAACTATTATACTTGTATACCAGGAATCATATCTGAATATTTATAGCAGCAAACATTATTCATAATTACCAAAATCTGAAAGTAACTCAAATGTCCATTTACCATAGAATGGGGAAATAAATTCTGAAATACTTACACAATGGATATTATTCACCAGTAAAAAAAGAATGAACTGTAATATTGTCTAATAGCCCAAATTTATCTTATAACAAACTTGTGATGCAAGCAAGTTAAAGAAACGCAGTATGATGCTTTTTTCTCATGTAAAGCTAAAAATAAAAGTTAACGATATATCGTTTAGTGATAAATATACATATGATAAAATTATATTTAATAATGCATCTATTTTGTATGTATCAAATATAGCACAATTTAAAAAATGATGAGGGTAACAAATAAATCCTGTCTCATAGAAAGATTCAGTTGACTTGCTGTTTTGATTCCTACATCTTATCATTTAAACTATATTGTATCTATAACTTTTTTCAAGACGGTTTCTAAAAAACTTGTTTATATCTATCCATGTATGCTAATTCTCTTTAACATATAAGATAGTATTGAAATATGATTCAACTACACTCCATGAAGCTGAGAAACTTTAAGAGCATCAGTCATTTGCCACAAAAGGTCATAATTAGACAAAAATTGCTTTTATTAGAGTACTTATTTTTAGATATTTTGGTGGAAGCTATCCAAAATAATAAAGACATTTAAAGATATTTCTTACTTCAAGAAAGTTTAAATTGAAAATATACATTAATGCTTCAAATAGAGTTGTAGGGAGTGGAGAGTTAAATATTAATTGTTGAATAAGTGCCAACACAGAAAACAGTAATTTTAAATGCATAAAAAATAAATTATTAAATTATATGAGAAAATAAATTAACACAAATGGGTGAAACCTAGTGGCTATAGAAGTCTGGAAATTTTTGTCTTGTGCTTGTAATATGTGATGTCAGTTACTATTCTAATACTTTCAAGGTAGACAGTAGAATATATAGATACAATTTAGGAAAAGAAGGAGCAGCCTCATTCCTAGTTGCTACACCTGTTACTTTATCATAAAATATCCTATACCAAATATCCTATAGAAAGTCTTCAATACTAGAGTTTGAATTAATGACTGGATTATATCTGGCTTTTTTTTTCCTCCTTACTTTGTTATTTCTATGATTTTTTTTACTATTGTGGTTATGCATCTTGTTACGTTTAATTTATATTCTTTTCTCTCATCTGTAACTGAGTTTTTTTCCCTCTCTGGGGATCAGAGATGATTTGCAAAACAGCATTAAAGCAAACATTACATAACTGTGAAATCAAACCACTACAAGTTCATATTGATGTATGAGATATATGCCTCTAAATCAATAGAATGTAAGAAAACTATTCTGCTTCTAAAAAAATAATAAAATAATGCAAAAATCAACTTTAATGTTAAAAGACAAAGAGGAAATGTACTTTTCCCTAGAGCAGAGCCACTGAAATTAGCAATCATCTGCTTTGTAATATTTAGGCTTCTTAGAACCAAAGATTCTTCTACAAGTCAAGCTGATTCAGTCACATACCCTTCTAAGGCAGATAAATTGAGCACCATATAGTTTATTGTGCAAGGTTTGAGATGTTTAATAATTCAGTTTTATAAGGATATGAAAAAACACTTTGGCATTTTGTTAAAGCATGGTGGTACTTGCAAAAATAGTGTGAAACAAAAAAACAGGCAAAAGCAAGAAATAAAAATAGAAAAGATTTGAAGTTAAGAGGAGTACATAAATGGAGATTTAAAAAAATTAATTAGATTCCTCATGCAAATCCACTGATTATCCTAATTACAGAGAATGACTAACTTCAATAGAAGCACAGTTAAACTGTCATACAGACATTTGCTGAATGACTACGGAGGGTGGAATAAGAGGCAGGAAAAAGATAAATTCCACTATCCCTACATATTCTTGGTTTTGGGAAAAACATGATAGATGATAGATGATAGATAGATATAGATGATGATAGATGATAGATATAGATGATAGAAATCTTTTAAAATTCTAAATAGTCAATTTTATGACTGAAACAGTTGAGTAGGCAAAAAGCAGATCATCAGATTGCTCATAGCCCAGCAATCTTTGATCCAATATAAATTGGTAGAACTATCCACAGCCAAAGAGCCCCTGGTGTGACTTATAATTAGGTTTATGCTATGATGAAGTA